CAAGAGAATAATTCGAACTGTGTAGCGAAAAAAAATCATATTTTAAATCAATTAATTTATAATATTAATGCTCTGTAAATTTACATTGAGCACTATTTTGTAAAAAAAAAATATCTATAAGAACAACCGGAATTATATATCTTACTGTTCTTTATATATATATATATATATATATATATATATATATATATATATATATATATATATATATAATAAAATCGTTCATGCAATTATTTTTATTTATCTATCTATCTATGTCAGTTCGTTCATGCATTTATCTAAATATATATTATATATAATATATATTTATATATATATATATATAGAGAGATAGATAGATAGATAGATAGATAGATAGATAGATAGATAGATAGATAAGCCAGTACATACGTCCAGTTGTCTATTTTCTATTCTCAGTGTATGCATCTATATATCTTCATATCTCTGTTCATATCTATATTCGTTGTTAGGTTATGATCAGCGAATCTGGTTTTGTTTATAAATCCTTTTGGGTTCGATTCTGGCTCCCGCGGAATAAAGTTAGATATTAAATGGCCTATAAACTATTGTGATGTGCTTACATGAACCAGACAATCAATCGCGTATCTCAACCCATCAATTATTTCTTTATCAGTATGATCAATGAATCGATATACGTCCATATACATAATAGAATCCATACTACAGAGGAATTATATCATATATATATATATATATATATATATATATATATAAATAAATTGATATATAGATATAGATAGATAGATAGATAGATAGATAGATAGATAAATATGAATAGATATTATTAATAGATAGATATATATATAGATAGATAGATAGATAGATAGATAGATAGATAGATAGATAGATAAATATGAACACACATAGATATTAATAGATATATATATATATATATATATAGATAGATAATAGAAGATAGATAGATATGAATATATGATTGAGATAGATAGATAGATAGATAGATAGATAGATAGATAGATAGATAGATAACTATGAAGTCACAGATATTAATATATATATATATATAGATAGATAGATAGATAGATAGATAGATAGATAGATACATAGATAATGATGAGATAGATAGATAGATAGATAGATAGATAGATAGAATAGATAGATATGAACTGATTGAGATAGATAGATAGATAGATAGATAGATAGATAGATAGATAGATAGATAGATAACTATGAACACATAGATATTAATAGATATATATATATATATATATATATATATATATAGATAGATAGATAGATAGATAGATAGATAGATAATGAACAGACTGAGATAGATATGATCTGACTGATATAGATACAGGAGTTTGTCTTGATTTGTATTCTTTATGTATATAGATGTATACATATATGTATGTATACGCCTATGTATGTGTGTATATGTCTGTGTGTTTTTCTCTTTGTATCATTCTTCTTTAGTGTGTGTGACGTTGATATCTTTCTCTCTCTCTCTCTCTCTCTCTCTCTCTCTCTCTCTCTATCTATCTATCTTTCTTTTTCTCTCTAATCTTTATCGATAGATATGAAGAGATTTATATCGGTACATAGATAGATTGATAGATACATAGATAGATATGAAAAAATTGAGATAGATAGATAGATAGATAGATAGATAGATAGATAGATAGATAGATATAATTAGACTGATTTAGATAAGTAGTTCGATTGATAGATCTGAACAGACTGAGAAAGGCCGATAGAAAGATAAATACGAACAGACAGATTCCCTAAATGCATTCACACACAATAAAAGATAAAGATTTCTCTCTCTTCCTTTCCCTCTGTCTATCACTCTTTCACTCTGTCCCTCCCTCTCCCTTTCTATTTCTTCCTCTGTAGTGTAAATATATCTCTATCTGCTTACCTCCCACTTTTCTCTTTCCTGCAAGCTTTTCTCCCTACCTTCTTCTTCTCTCCCCTCCTACTACCTCTCCCCCTTTTTTTCCTCCTTTCTTTTCTTCGTTTATTTTCTTCCCCCCACCCACACACACATACCAACACTACCTCCCGAATTTCAACTTCACTATCTTGTTTACTTTCTTTCCTTTTTTTTCTTTCTTTCCTTTTTTTCTTTTCTTTTTTTTTTTTTCGTTTTTCCTCCTCCCATTTTTTTTCTTTTTTTTCTTTTTCTTTTTTAAACAATTCATTTTTTTTTTGTCTTCTGTATTTTGCTAACTCTACCAATATCTCTTCGTATAACTTTGGGCAAATCGTGTCTCTCTTTATATTTTTATTTTTCTTTCCTGTATCGCCAGACGGCCCGACTCTGTTCATCTCTCGTTTGCAGTTCGTTTTAAGCGCCATTTTGGTTTCTCCAAAAAGGACACGCATGCGCACATATGTACACATATTAGCAAGCCACGGCGAACCTAAGTCGCTTGTTCTCAGACAATATGTTACCAATGAATTTATAGATATTTACTACGCGTTTTCAATCGCCCATCCGCTGAAGTGCAACTGT